GGCCAGTAAGTACTGAGCACTTTATAGGGATTGTGTCATCTTGTCCTCAGGACAATTCTATAAGTTTCCTATACCTGACTGAGCAAGAGAATCTCTAGGGGAACTTTTATTAGAAGTATTTAAAGTTTTCATTAAAGATATTTTCATTTTGGGGCCAAAGATTTTATATCTTATTCTATCCTTACTCAATAAAAGCCTGGAGGGGCATAAAATAATTATACCAGGCGTTTCTCATGTAGCTGAACAATGGAATAACAACCGTCCCTCTGAGATACTGTCCAGTGAGAAAAGCATAGGATTTGGGATTAGATGTTTTGAGTTTGTTGTAGCTTTTCATCTCCTAGGTATTTGATTTTGGATAAGTCATTTAGCTATACTCTAATAGACTCATGTGTAAAAGGAAAAAAACAACCCAGCGTAGCCATTATCAAGGATTAGGTCAATGTTTTTCAGAGCTTAGTATATGCAGACTCTATCTATTCTTTGGGTAAATGGAGAGTTGGATAGATCAGTGAATTCCCTTGCCACTCTTCCCAACTTGTCTACTTTTTCTCTTCTCCATTCGATATATTGATCTTGTTCTGTTCTTAGAATACACCAAACCATTTCCATTTTATTTGCTCTTGAGCTGCCTGAAGCACTCTTCTGCCCCCACCCCACCGCACCTCCCCCCCCGTTGATCACCTGACTAATCTTTTGTTCAAATTCCACCTCTTAAAGAGGTCTTTTCTTTTTTTTATTTTTATTTTTTAATTTATTTTTTTATTATGTTAGTCACTATACATTATTACATCATTAGTCTTTGATGTAGTGATCCATGATTCATTGTTGGCGTATAACACCCAGTGCTCCATGCAGTATGTGCCCTCTTTAATACCCATCACCGGGCTAACCCATCCCCCCACGCCCCTCCCCTCTAAAACCCTCAGTTTGTTTCTCGGAGTCCATAGTTTTAAACAGGCCTTTTCTAAACTGTATATAAAATTGCCAATTTCTGGCTCCAGTTACTTTCAATACTGACTCCTCTGCTTTATTTTCCTTCTAAATCTTGACACCATTGATAACTACATAATGTATTACTCGTTTACTTGCTTGCTCAGAGCTTCCTCCCCAAGAATGCCTTGGTGCAGGGGCTTTGTTTTGTTCACCTAGATGTACATTAAAAGGTAGTGATTGTTATTAATGCCTCCCTTCCTGACTTGCTGATCCACACCTGTGAGCCGGCATAAGTTTAAGGAGCTGAGCATGCAAGCTGAATGGATTCTTTTGCACAAATGGTGCTGATGGTTATCCTTAAAGAAACGGGGTGGCCTAATTTCAAGGACAGTGAGGTTTTTTTGTACATAAATAGATACATATCTCAAAAAGAAATATTCTCTAAACTCACTGGAACAGATAAATAAGAAGAGTTGTATTGTCATTCCCATTTCATGATAACTCAAAAAAAGTGAGTTTATAACATGCTGTTTTGATTACTAGTTTATGTAACAGTTTTATTAAGCTGATTCCCAAGCAATATGTTCCAAAGTGGTTTATATGAGGACACTAATAAAGCAGCATACCAAGCAAATAGACCAACCGTTATTTGGGCTGCTAACATGAATCATTTCCATTGTCATTTTGAAGACTCTCCAAATTCTTACATCTAACATGGCTCAGGAAGTCCAAAGGCAAGGTCATTAAATGCCAGGACTTCACCCTTAATCTAGAGAGTACTTTCAAGGACTACACTAATTTATACTTGATAAAGCAGCACACAATTGGGAAAAGCATCAGCCTAATACTTTCTCCACTTGTTTGAAGGCACCTGACAAACTTTGTTTTTAGGAGAACAGGAATTGCAGAAATGTCTTTATCCACAAATAAAATGCTCATAGGGTCTAAAAGGAACCTAACAGATGTTGACTTAAAAGTGAACAGATATCCTTGAATTGTTTCCCAGTTGCATAAATTTCTCTGGTATGCAACATGAACAGATTCTAACAGAATTCTTAAAGTCTTATAGTCAAGAAAATCATAAGATTTTAAAAGTTAACTCTGTTCTAAATTTATTACTGGTCTCCTCAAGAGTGGTGCACAAAGTAGTCTTTACTCTTGAAAGAACAAATAGGAAAATTATAGAACAGTTAAGAAAACACCTGTAACTTTTAGGGGATGATAGCAAAATAGTGATTTAACAAGTAGACCAATAAAGAAGCCCTAAGTAGTAAATGTGTTCTTAAAAAATTAATTTCCTTAACAAATTTCTCAAGGTAAATTTAAATGTTCATATTTGGGCCATAATATGAGAAGAGGAAGATCAAAAGGGAGAGAAACTGGATATCAATCAATAATAAATACAGTTGACCCTTGACCAACTTGGGGGTTAGTAGTACCAACCCCACCTGCTGTTGAAAATTCATGTATAACTTTTGACTCCCCCTAAAAACTTTACTAATCACTTGACTTTGACGGGAAACCTCATGGATAACATAAACAAATCTGTTACCATGCATTTTGTATGTTATATGCATTATATACTGTATTCTTACAATAAAGTAAACTAGAGAAAAGAAGACATTATTAAGAAAATCACAAGGACGTGACGTAATGAACACTGGATATTATATAAGACTAATGCATCATTGAACTTTACCTCTGAAACTAATAATACACTCTATGTTAATTAACTGAATTTAAATTAAAAAAAATAAAAAAACCCAGAAAATCACAAGGAAGAGAAAATACATTTACAGTACTGTACTGTATTTATTGAAAAGAATCCACCTAGAAGTGGACCCGCGCAGTTCAAACCTGTGCTGTTCAAGGGTCAACGGTATTTCCTGGTCACGATAAATACCACAGTCAGCTCTGATTTTTCCCTCTCCCACTACTGATTCTGTGTAACACTCCTTTTGTATATATTTGCTTATTAGCCCCAGAGCTCACTTCTTCTCTAATTAATATAATAGTTTCCAGTATCCCCTTCTGCCAATCACAGAGTTTTGGAGCCCAAGGAACTCTACTCAGAAATGCAACTCCCAAAGCCATTATATCCCCTGCTTCCTGATCAGTCCTACTAAATCAGACTTACTGTGTTGTTTTCTAATCCAAATCTTTCCAAGGCTTGTCTCTACCTACTGAAAACTGCCACGACTCCTTTGTTGAACATTTAAGGCATCTATGCATTTATTTTCAAGTCCCCGGACGTGGTTTTCAGCCTTACTTTTTCCATGCATTGGTTCCAGAGTAATTTTTCAGCACCTCTGTCATTTGAGCTGTGATAGGCCAGAGGCTTAGGACACAAAGATAAAGAAGCCCCAGCCTGGCCCTCCAGCAGCCCTCAGTTTCATGGGGGGTGAGTGATGGAGGGGACAAGTACATGAATAACCCATGTGTTGAGAAGAGTGGTGACAGAGGCTGCTGCCCCGGCAACCCTGGACTCAGGCGTCCAGTCTGGCTATCTTGTTGACCTTGCTTCATCAATGCTAATTCATTTAGTGCTGTGACTAAAATGTGGCCCACTCTGGTCAGTACTCCACAATTTTGTCCCTGATGTTTCCTCTCTGTGGAACATCCTTTCTTTGCTTTTCTGCATACCCCAAATATATCTGATCCGAAGACTGGATCAGATGTCAATTAATCCATGAAGCTTTCCTTATTGTCTTTGTCTTAATATCTCTCATTTGAATTTCTATGACACTGTGGTTGTATTTCCCTTTCTCGTTCTAATCACATCCTTGCTTGTATTGGAGTTTATTATCAAAGTCTTGTTTCTCTTACTACAGCTGTCTGCCTCTTCAGAACAGCAACTATGATTTTATATATAAAAACCTAAAAAAAAAAAAACAACAACCAAATGCTTCAGAAAAGGATGAAAATGTGCTCAGTGAATGCTCCCTGAGCTAAAAGAATAAGGAGTAAGTTGCACACTAAACTCAGTTGTAAAATAGAACAATGAGGGGATTAACTAAACAAATCCATCCCCACACACATAGAGTAAATCTACTACATAAATTACTATAAATATTAACATCAGTAGAGATGAGAGCTGCCACTAACAGATTGCATTTCCTGGCTGAAAGGGGTTAAGCAGATCTATCCACAATGGGAAAAAATTCTTCATTGCCTTTATTAAAGACTAATTTTAGGTCTTTTGGTAATTAAATGAACACACTGTTTATGCTCCATACGCTTTCTGCCCTGAGTCTTGGAAAATACGTGAAATTTCCAAGAATTAAAGTTTCCATTAACACAAATGCCAAATCAGGAGGCCTGACCTGTGGGAGAAAGCACATTTGTCTTTGCTGGAGGCTCTTCAAAAAACTATAGAAAGATATTTACTATATAACCTTTCTTGTGCGCAATTGTTCTTTTTTATCATTCAGATCATCGAGACAAGATGAGGAAGCTGCAACATTTCAGAAAGTAACCAAGTACTGAAGAATGGCCATTTGAGTTCTAAAGTGTTGACAGCTATCCCTTTTTTGGGGTAAACTTTCTCACTGGAAGAGACCTCGACTTTTTTCTTTCTTTCTTCTTTTTTGGGGGGGAGGGGGGGTCGTTGCGTGCGAGTGTGTGTGTGTGTGTGTGTGTGCGCGCGCGCTTAATTCCCTGAGAACTAGCTTTGGATGAAGAAACCCTTCACTTACAGTGGGTTCCAAAACATCTTCCACCTGTATCATCCCCACTAGATGGAAATTTAATGTAAATAAATGTGTGCACACAGCTTGAACACTTCGGAAAACTGTTTTCTGATCTCCGTATCTGGTTTTGTTCAATCTTAAGTAGCCCAGTTATCTACCCAGATTACAAAATAAAAATAAAAAATAAATTCTCTTTACGTCAGTGAACTTGGACTCATAAGTTCTCTCCTGAGCAGGGAGCCTTTTAAAGACGAGCGGGTCAGGCTGGCAGCGGGGGGTCGCAGCTACTGGGAAAGAGCTGGCTCTACAGGTCCCGCCCTCCCCACCCTCCCTTTGCCCCTCCTTCTGGCCGGCTCCTCCGCGGGATGCACCTCCCCCCACTCCCCTCCGGCCTCCACCTCGCCAACTTCGGCAGCTTCGGAGGTCTGGCGCGCGTCAAAGCCGGAACTGGGAGGCTGATTTGTGGAGCATCACCCGCAAGGTCCTCTCCCCCCCGACCCCCCCGGCCCCTCCTCCGTTCGGAGCAACGGCCCGGGGAGTAGAGCCCAGCAGGGGGAGGGGAAGATCCACACCCATCCCCCTTCCTCTAGCCCTCCCGCATTCAGATTCAGTTGCACCTTTTATTATTTTAACTCTTCTCCCTAGGACACGCGGCCCCCGGATCTGTCCCTCTGGCGTTCGCGGTCCCTGCACCCGCGCGCCGGGATGGGAGAGCGAGGGACCTGCCCGCGGTCGGCCGGCGTGTGTAGGGAGGTGCAGCCGCCGCGCCCGCTGCCCAGAGTCTGTAAGTTTCAGCGCTCCTCCCGGGGAGGGGAGGGGGAGGCTGTTCGCGTCCCGGCAAAAGATTTAAAATGCCAAACACAGCAGAGGTTTACAGTGTTGGATGGACTTTTCGGGGCACACTCTTTTAACTCTATCTGCAGCCCGCGGGCTATTGTCCGGGCTTTTCCTGCAGCTTCTATGTTTGATCCCTTCGCTGTAAAGTTTTCAATTAATAATATTATGAATTCCCCTGGGAATTTTTCTCCTTTTTTTTAAAATGCAGTTCATACTTATTTAAAACGTAAAATACTTCTTCATCATTTTCAAGTTACGGAGCACATCGCTTATTATTATTTTGTCAAATTTCACTAAGCATGTTATTTATACTGCGCAAGAGGCCACCGCCTTTGCGTACTTCTAAAAATAACGGAGGAAGAATTTCCTCTCTCTACTTTTAATATTGCTGTATCGTCTAAATAATAAATGGATCGTGATACCCAGCTGGCTTTAATTTTCATCATAGACGCCGCATGTTTGTATCTTTACGCTAATCTACAGACGCGGTTTATCTCGGAATTATCGTTGAGCCTGCTGTTTACAGGAAGGCTCCTGGTTTTGTTTAACTAAGGCTATGCCCTTATGTGTTCAAAACGATAAGGAAAATGGAAACAGTTCCTATTCAGACCAAATAATTTCTTCTCTGCGATCCCAGAACTCAAGCACAAACTAGATTCGTGTTTAGATTGATAAAATCATGCCTTAGCTTTGCATGTCACCTAGAACGTATGGACATATCCCTGAATGCAAGAACTGAAGAGGTGAGGAAATGGGAGAGGGGAAAGTTTTAAATCGTCGTTTCCCTTATGCAGGAGGACGTCCCGAGGGAAGGAGAGGCAGGTCAGAGACAGGTGAATAGGCGGGCTATGGTGACGGGACGATGCTGGCCAGAAAGAGCATCATCCCCGAGGAGTATGTGCTGGCGCGCATCGCGGCGGAGAATCTGCGCAAGCCGCGCGTCCGAGACCGCCTCCCCAAAGCCCGCTTCATCGCCAAGAGCGGGGCATGCAACCTGGCGCACAAGAACATCCGAGAGCAAGGACGATTCCTGCAGGACATCTTCACTACCTTGGTGGACCTGAAATGGCGCCACACGCTGGTCATCTTTACCATGTCGTTCCTCTGCAGCTGGCTGCTCTTCGCCATCATGTGGTGGTTGGTGGCCTTTGCCCATGGGGACATCTACGCTTACATGGAGAAGAGTGGAATGGAGAAAAGTGGTTTGGAGTCCACTGTTTGTGTGACTAATGTCAGGTAAGAATGCAGTGGGATGAGGCAGGGATTGAAAACAGTATAGAGAGAAATATTAAACTGCCCTTTTTCTATCACAGTTATTTTGTTGAAAGCGAAATAAAGCATTTGCTTTAGTACCTTCAGACACAAAGAAGTAAAAAAAACCTAATCTAACACATCAAGAATCTTTTTAAATGCAGCTTTATGGATGAGGAGTCTCTGAAAACGTGGAACTTCAATCCTTCTGATACTATATCAGTTATTTAAAGAATGGTTGTGGTTCAAAGGATTACACAGAGTTCCTTACTCAAAAAAAAAAAAAAAAGCACACATTCAGTATTTAGTATGAAAAAATTGCTGTGTCCACAAATAAGTATCTCTGATCGACAAAAAATATTGTGCAAATGCTAGTAATATTTTTCCCTAACTTCTCTTACCTGTGACATTTCCAGAAATCATGAGGAAAATGGGAAAATACTGGTGGAGAGGTATCCTCGATTAAAAATCCACTAAAAATGAAATAAATAGATATTAGCCCTTCTTTATCAAGATTATCTTAAATAGCTGGTTGCTTGCACTGGATTGCAAAGTTTAAAAGTTATGCTAAGATGCAGAACTAGAAAAAATTAGTTTTTAATGGAAATTGGTCCAAGTTTTTCATGGAAGAGATTATATAGGAGTGAATTAATGTTGTGGTTTTCTTTACAAGTCTTAATAGAATAGGAACAAGACAGTCCTCAGATTGCCTAACGTTTGCTTCTTTCTCTTATATTGTGTTTCAAAAGTAAATAAAATGAATTTGATTTCAGTCATTCCCCTCATATTTTCACATGGTCTAAGAACATTTAGTTGGGATGATCTGTCTTTTAATTTGTTTTGTTGGAAGACGGAAAGATCATTTATATCAATTGCAAAAATATTCACTCTTGAAGCGAAACAATGGTAATAATACTGGAAACTTTGCCAGGACATTTTCTGAGTAATGTTCCAAATTCACATAGTGTACAAAGCAAAACAACTTGAACAAGCACCATTCTGCCAGGCAACTGTAAAGAATGAGACCTTTACTGACCCTGAAGTCTTCTGAAATTAGCATACCGCTGCAAGAAGCAGAAACCCAGACTGTGAACTTGTCTGTCCTTAGTAACCGCAATGCCAACGTATGAGGGAGGGATGCAGCATTTGTGTGCCGGGATCACACGTCACAGATTTCAGCTCGGATTTTGAGGAGAGAAAAATATATTGAATTGATCTATTGCCTTTATCACCAAGTAGCTATTATTTTCTTGTCTTGAACTTTTCACAAAGTTTTGTCTCCAAGAAAATATAGATGAAAAATGTTGGTGATCATCAGCATACCAGATACAAAGGAAACACTTAAAACACTGTGTTTAACAGGCATTTGTAGGTCAAATATCATTATCTATAATATTTCTCTTTAAGAAATTTATGGGCACTGATATTGGTGAATCACTTCCATCTCAAGATAAATTTTTAATAAACATGAGGTAGACAGTCATAAAAAGAGATAATAGAAACAAAAATGATAAGCCTCGAAAATAAATGACAGATTTTAATTACAAGACAAGTATGTTGGCTTTTCCTGTGAAAAAGGAGTCATAAAGCAGTTTATTAAAGATGTATCATCAACGTGACATCCTTCCCATGATTTTTTTGGAAAGAACGTATGGAGTGCACTGGTTGTTAAAAGCTGTTTTAATGTTAGCTCTCATTTTTCACCCAGATGTGTTCTGAAGCATGTTCATTCCCCTGATGCATTCCTTCTGCTGGGAGAATTCAGTTTACTGTGAGAAATGGTGTCACAAATACAATGAGATAAAGTTGATCTTATTAGCGTGACAATTTTCGCATTTTTAATTGCACTTCTTACCTTAAAAAAATTACTTGACATCTTTTAAGGTTAAAATCTTGCTAATTTTATTTTAATGTTATGATACTATTTGTGCTTTAAGCTCAACATACAGCTTAATCATAACAAACCGTACATAATACAATTTTTTCACCAAAAATATAGAGACAAAAAATCTCTATTCTCTCCCAAAGGGGATTTAAAAGATGCCTAATAATGTTTCTTATTCTTTGCATTTCCTTTCAGAGGTTTAGTGTCCCACCATTTCATGGAAATTAGACACACCTTATTGTGATGGTTACTTACCAGTATGTCCAAATAACATTTTAGCGTTCTTATTTTAAGATGGCTCACTTTCCCTTTCATGTGGATGACTTTTCCAACATGAGTCAGAAAATAAACCAACATATTTCTTCTTATTCAGCCTAACTCCCTCTGTAGCAGAACAAACAAGCAACTGAACACTTTCATCTTTTGAGAGTATGACAGGTGTCCATAAAAGGTTGGGTCTTGCTACCATATAATGTTTAGAATTAAATTCATTCATAAAATAAACAATATGTAAAATATGGCACTTGAATAGTCCCTCAATCCATTAAAACGAAACATTTGGGAATATTCATCCCCAGGCTGCTCCATGAAGTATATAGACGTTATTTGAAATCAGCGTTGGGTCCAAGCCCCTCCCCTGGGGTCCATTCTTATTCTTCACAGAGTTTTTGGATCATACAACACATCTGTGTAATTCGTGCAAAAAGCAATCATTGTGGTACTCCATGAATCTTTTTAGATGCAGGAGTTAAAGGGTTAAAAAGGCAATTTTCACACCCCACTTAAAAGTTAATCTAAAGAGTCATTTATGCTTACCGCTCATGGTGTTGCACCAAAGTGCAGTGTGTATACTCAGTATTCAAATGTTTAAGCATTTTGCTGGCTCGTTGTGCATGGCATTAATGGATAGATTATATGGATAGCCTATGCATGGTTAATCTTCTGTAAAATTAGAGAAGTTTGAAATTGGCATTGGGGGTAAACACAGACTAACCCTGTTTTCGTTAAGAAGTCACAGCAATATAAGATATGTAAGTTAAGTAAATAAATTAATCTTAAGAATAAACAAATGTGGTGCATCTTAAGCAAGGGGATAAATCAGACTTCCCTGAGAGCTTTTCAAAAGTCTTAACCCAGGTCAACCTTGGACCTACCAAATCGGGGTTTACATTGAGATATATGGAAGAGATGTACAATTTGAAAAAGCTTCCCAAGAAAATACTGACACTTGTTCACTCTCCCCTTGCCTCTTTCAGAGCACCAAGCCAAAACTGAGAGGATTCAAGTTCTCATCAATTATGTGATCTTGACACAGTTACTTACTAATCTCTGCCTCAAATTTTTCCTTTAATAGCCTCAGTATTCTCTAGAATTAGAGAACAAAATGAGACAATCAATAAAAAAAGTTTTCTTTCCAAATGACAAAACATTAAATCATTCTTTTTTATTAAAAATACTAGTACTTTTGAATGATGTGTTTTGTACCACCTTTTGGTAGCACTGTGTTTTCTCTGTATAAGATACACAATAAGTGTTAACCAATGAATATGATTTTAAGGGTTACAAATAATAAAAAGTTCACTTTTTACTCAGGATCTTCCCACGTGACTCCAGTCACTGAAACTCAGATATGCAATAAATAATAAACATCTACCTGGACAGAAGTTGCACCAAGTAAACTATGACATTGTGAAAGTATTTCACAAGGTAAAATATGTCTATAAATACAAGTATGTATTTATTATTTTAACTTATTATTTTAATGCCTTCATACAAGTAGGCCCATCATTACATGACACAGAAAACAATAGAACTGTATTCCAGAAGTCTGGGAGTAGATGCATTCCGATGAGAGAGAGAGGGAGAGAGAGAAAGTGCTTGTGTTTAGAATCAGGCATTTGACAAGTTAAGTTGCCAAGTCTTTCCAAAAGCATTTAATAGCCTTTGGAGGAAGAAAATGGAAAATTCAGCTTGGCATGTTATTTCATTATTCAAAATGTGATCTGATGGCACTGTTTTCTGATATCATTCCTTACAGGTCTTTCACCTCTGCTTTTCTCTTCTCCATTGAAGTTCAAGTGACGATCGGATTTGGAGGGAGAATGATGACAGAGGAATGTCCTCTGGCCATCACAGTTTTGATTCTCCAGAACATTGTGGGTTTGATAATCAATGCAGTCATGTTGGGCTGCATTTTCATGAAAACAGCTCAGGCTCACAGGAGGGCGGAAACCTTGATTTTCAGCCGCCATGCTGTGATTGCTGTCCGAAATGGCAAGCTGTGCTTCATGTTCCGAGTGGGCGACCTAAGAAAGAGTATGATCATTAGTGCCTCGGTGCGCATCCAGGTGGTCAAGAAGACAACTACACCTGAAGGGGAGGTGGTGCCTATTCACCAGCTGGACATTCCTGTTGATAACCCAATTGAGAGTAATAACATTTTTCTGGTGGCCCCTTTGATCATCTGCCACGTGATTGACAAGCGCAGCCCCTTGTATGATATCTCAGCAACTGACCTCGCCAACCAAGACCTAGAGGTCATAGTGATTCTGGAAGGAGTGGTCGAAACTACTGGCATTACCACACAAGCAAGAACCTCCTATATCGCTGAGGAGATCCAATGGGGCCATCGCTTTGTGTCTATTGTAACTGAGGAGGAAGGAGTGTATTCTGTGGATTACTCCAAATTTGGCAACACTGTTAAAGTAGCTGCTCCCAGGTGCAGTGCCCGAGAGCTGGATGAGAAGCCTTCCATCCTGATTCAGACCCTCCAGAAGAGTGAACTGTCGCATCAAAATTCTCTGAGGAAGCGCAATTCCATGAGGAGAAACAATTCCATGAGGAGAAACAATTCCATCCGAAGGAACAACTCATCCCTCATGGTGCCAAAGGTGCAATTTATGACTCCAGAAGGAAATCAAAACACATCGGAATCATGACAGCAAGCCAACCTCAAGAAAATCTTTTATCAAGTGTTGGATGGTTGAGGCAAAGCACTGTCAGACTGCACCAGAGCCAGAACACAGTAATTTGTTCTTCTATGTCTTCATGCACCAAATGATACTCATATTCAAGCAACAGCACTTTCTGTGTCAATAACCAGTCACACAAGGTGGATTCATGGCTCACACTTGTCTCACACATGTGGTATTTGCAGTGACATGCTTCTATTATGTATAGGAAATAGTATGCTCTCCTTTCTCTCAATTTGAAACCCAAGAATTCCGTTCATAGTAATAGACCTTGAATACCAAAGTTGGCCAAGGAATGATTCTGTTTGAAATGCTTAGTGCTTGAAATCACAGATCTCTCTGTTTCCATTGGTCACTCTGAAAATGCAATTAGGATGGGCAGGGGAACCCCAAAAAGGTGCTATTAACACCTTTTGTGTATCAACCAGTATGTTGCCTTCTCCTTTTTCTAGATGCTGCGCCTGGTAAGAATCCTGAGGCAAAAACTGCTTCTCTCTAGTTGCTTCTAAACGGATTGTGTTCAGTCACTTACTTCTTCACAGTGACCTTTGCAGGTTTCTCCATCCTCCTCGTTGGCAGAACTGGACAGAGAGCTTTGGAGAAAAGCTAAGAACATTCCTGTCTGGATATTAGGACTGGATTCCCAAAAGTGACAGTTATTTCTTTTGGCTTCTCACTTCTTAAAAGCCCCCACAGGGAAATACTGTATTGAATATTTTATTAAAATATTTTCTTTGTATTCACTGTAGTTTTGTGATTTCTCTTTCACAAAATCATCCCTAGTCAAAGCTCAAGGAAGAAAAAAGCATTTTTAGAGGCATGTGAAAGAGATATCATACAGTGATAACACCTCTCAGATCTTCCTGTCTTTGAAATTGTTTTATTCCAAGGGAACTACAGTTTTTGTTTCATTTTGATTTTATTTCCTTCCAAGATTTGAAAAGTTTTTTTAGCTCTTCTATCTGAAGCTGATGTATCATGGAAATCTTACAGTGTTTTTTCTTTGGATCTCCAACTTCCCTTCTTAAAACTCTGCTCTCTTCCTGAAGTCAGGCCTGGCATATATTGGTTTAGAGTTATTTCACTTGTTAAAGTGAGATTTTCTATCAGAACCTGATCTAATCATCCTTAGCTCTTGTTTCTTCAGGGAAGGGATGAGGGCACCCAGGGAAGCACTGAGTTGAGAGACTATGGGTTTATGCTTCTATTTTACATACCTGAACATCGGAAAGCTGAGCTCTTGTATAGCATTTTACACCGATTTGGGGTTTGTATTTATTTTACTTCATTGATGAGCATTTGAAATAGGCAGGTAATCATTAATATATTCAAATCCTATCTTAAACAAATGACTCACGATTCTAAGCAGATGAATGGAAATTGGTTCCTGGGTTACTGAGTTAATCATTTCTGAACAATTCTAACCACTCTTTGAACTCCAGACTCATGTATCAAGCAGGTACTTGAAGCCCCACCTGGATACCCAATATGCATTTAAAATGTGCCTAAAGCCAAATGCCCCATTTCCACTAACAAAACCTACCCTCTACCCCCAGTCCTTCTTCCAATCAGGCCAAACCCTGCGAGTCATACTGGACACCTCTTTTTTATACCTCACATGCCATCCATTAGCAAAATCTGTTAGGTCTGCTGTCAAAATATATCCAGAATATGACCAATTCTCTCTATCTCTACCATTTCTTCCAGAGTCCAAGCTGGGCACTCATTACCCAGTATATATGGATGCAGCTGTACCAACTGTCAGAATATTAAAACACTTTTGAATAGGATGCCAAAGAAAAAAATCTATCTTAACAAGAGCCCAACAGAGGCTTCAGAGATGGACATCAGACTTCCTAGCAGTTCTGGCACTGATGCCCGTCCCCCACTCCCGCCCTGGGGCAGCTGAGCAGAGCCAGAGGGCAGCTACCACAGCAACAATAAGAGTATGTAGGATGCCCACTCACAGGTTAGTGTTAGTGGAGGGTCGCAGGCTGCAGGGCGGGTAATGTTGGGGCATAGTCAGTCGGACTGAAATACAGGATTTCTGAGTCCAAGGGATACAGAATGCCCTGGCACCCAGGGGCAAATCTAGCTAGGAAGCATGAGCAATTCCCCGGGCCCCCTTCTGGCTGCAACCAAATGGTTCAATTCAATGGGGAAGTCGATCAAAGTGTTCGATGAAGCCTCCTATGTCAAGTCGTGGCTCGGGCAGGGGCATCATTTAGCTGGTGACCGCCACATCAAAGAGAAGATCACATCCCAATTCCTAAAAATATACAAATGTTTTAGAGTAATACAATGATTTGAGAACTTATTTTTGTTAAAATATATTTAACTGGCTAAAAAGTTTCAGGAACTATTTAGTTTAGTTTTAGAGAACAAGAAGACTCTGCATGTGTGTGTGTGCGTGTGTAATTTTGATGTATGTATTGAATTTAAGTATTATATTATATTAAATATTTAGAGTCTCCGCTTCCACCCTAGTCTTCATACATAGTCACAACATTCTTTTTTTTAAATAGTCTATTTATTTATTTGAGAGAGAGAGAGAGCACAAGCAAGGGGAGCGGCAGGCAGAGCGAGAGGGAGAAGCAGGCTCCCCGCTGAGCAGGGAACCAGAGGCAGGGCTCAATCCCAGGACCCTGGGATCATGACCTGAGCATTGATCATCCTTAAGGCAGACGCTTAACCAACTGAGCCACCCAACCACCCCACAATATTCTTTTAAATACTACTACACCACACCTCTGCTTAACACCCTCCTATGGGTTTCTGTTTTTCTAAAAATGAGAACCAAAATCTTTCCCAAGGTCCATGAACCATTCCATCTCATTATTACCACTCTTGCCCGCCAGCATTTCCACTCTGTACCACAGGGGCCTTGCTGCTCTTTGAAAAGGAACCATACATACTTTTGTATCATGGGTTTTCTTCTACACGGAGCATTTTCCCCATAGAACCTCCTGGGCCTGTCCTATCATTTAGTGACTAGAGTGTCATCTCATGAGACAATATAGTATTATGGTTAAGGAAATAGACTCTGCAGCCAGACTCTCTTGGCTTAAACTCCAACACTTAGCAACTGTGAGATCTTGACAAATTAATTAGTTTCTTTTGCCTCATTTCCCCATGCATAAAATCAGAATGATTATAGTACCTACCTCCTAAGTTGTTATAAGGAGTGAGTTAACACTTATAAAGGGCTTAAAAGACTTTAATTGATTTGCCCAGAACAAAAGCCTGAAATGAAGGACTGCTTCAAAATTAATTGCATTCTTAGTAAATGATTAATTCAATGCATTACATTTGTTCTCTAGGACAGAGACAAAAGATCTTTGCAATGTAAATCTGATCTCTTAAATCTGCAGCAGAGACCTTACATCTGCCCACTGCCTTACTGTTCCTGATTCTTTGATACCTGCCACTTGCGTGTCATCAAATAGTGTAATGTGTAAAATACTATAATGTGTAAAAGGGAAACATTTCACATACAGAGGATATTTCTGGTTTAAAAGTCTATCATTTATTTATTCATCCAATAATACATAGTGAATGTCTGATATTTACCACCTGGAAAAATAGCTAGGTGTGTATGTTTTTGTTTTTGTTTTTTTTAAGAAGGACTAGAAATTTACAGGTAAGATAGGTGCTGATTCTGCTCTTAAGTAATCTGAGATGGAAAGTATGAGGAGAGAAACACTGGCTTATGTACCAGAATTACAGAAAAGACACTTCCATCTCAAAATCAAGATCAAGATCTACTCCTAGTTGCTGAGCAGGCAAGGGAAGACAATAAAGATCCAGATCTGTTGCCCAGATAGCTTTGCTGAGAGCGAGGTGAGAAACGAGAACACTGTTCATGCTGAGAAATTATTTTCTCCTGCTTTACCTTAGCCCCAAACCACAGTTTTCTTCTACAATTCCTCATTATTTGCCACTTGGCTCAAGACTTTTTCTGAGTAAAAATCCCATTTCCCAGACCACAGACATTTCTAAATCCCCTGGCCAAGGGTTTTGGCACATAAGTGTCTCAGAACCAGCAATGACTTAAAGAAATGACCTCAGTTCCCAAAGTCTAACTCCCAGAGAAGTTTTAGCCACGTAGTCAACACAGGGGAGTATTCTTTCCCCTCCATCGATAAGAATCATTTTTGTTGTTGTTGTTTAATAATTTGGCATTTAAGGAGCAATTGGTTCCTCTTTGAAAATAAATTAATTATAGATGAAGAAGAAAGAATGAAAAGATATCTATATCTCTTGGGGTTCCCACTCCCAATTTTTGTCATTTTCAGCATGTCAAAGGTAGAGGCAGAACTGAAATTAGTGTCTCTAAGGACCAGTGCATTAAAATAACCATAACAAATCCTACAGGCTATTTAAGAGGAAACCCAAGGGCCATGCTCTTCCCATGATCTTTATGCACAATTCTCATCAATGGTGATGGGAATTTCCCCACAGACCTAGGAAGGAAGTGACTTTAATTACACCCCTCGATAACTTGCTGCACAGATTCAAATTTAAGTTCATGAAAATCTTAATTAGCCTTTAACTTCAGATCAAAATATCACGTCAGGGCCCAATGTCATGCCAGATCATTCACCTCTTCATTAGTCCTCTTTTTTGATTGTTGTCCTAGTTCTCATGAAGATTTTCTTGGCAGTACTGTATGATACCCTTCCCCCGACTCTTATACTCTCTGGGGTAATTTAAGTGAAACTATTACTTCGCACAGTGTTTATTTTAATCACTTGAGAAAACAAAAATATTAAGGCTGGATCTCTACTTACTATCGGATTACTTTGGTTTGTATTGAATAAATATTGACAAAGTGGAAGATAAAATAGTTATCTGTAAAAGTGAAGTTAAAATAGACTTTTTGTATTTATCACTGACTGTTGAAAAAAAGCCCACATTCTTTAAGCATGATATTCAAGGCTCTTGTGGTCTGATTCCAACATATGTTTCCAGCCTCCTCTCCCGCCTCCCTCCTCAATCCTGCCTCCCTCCTCAACACCTCAGACTGCTTCAAGTTCACTGAATGCTTCATTTGGTCTCTCACACAAGTCTGCAAGTCTCTGAGGTTGAAATCTGAGCTTTTTCTATCTACCAAAGCTATGGCTTTTACAAAACCTTTACAGATCCTCCACCTAACTTACTTCTTCCTGTCCATCATGTGTACCTCTGTGTATTCGTTATTTCATAATAACTGGTATTATATAACGTTTTGATATCACCTTCACTTCTCCTCATTAGATTAAAAGTCTGTCTGTTCCCAAACTACTTACCACAGTGCTTGCCTAAAATAAATGGTAACAGCAGCTTGATAACTACCTTTCCCCAAATCTATTCTTCCTTTTACAGCAACAGAGTGGTTCAGCTAGTGATACTACCTCCCCCAGACTCTTTTGCTGTTAGTTGTAGCCACGTGCTTAATCTGGGGTCAACAGCCCATGGACAGAAGTCAAATGGACCTCTTCCCATTCTTGATTTTTAAAATCCTGAGCTTATATTTCTCCACCTTCTTTTTCCTTCCCATGGACCAGACACATATGTGGTGGAGACCAGCTTTCACCAGGATAATGAGGACAAAACCCAAGGAGCAAAAAGATGAAAAAACTTGTGACACTAAATGACTTTGTGGAACAGAGTCACACTACACTGGACTATCTACCTCTAGACAGCTAGTTACATGAGAAAGAAGGAAATATATTTTTTATTTTAGTGGTTTTTTCTTTT